ACCTATGGAGAGATTCGACAAAGACGCTTCGACACGGCTCACGATCTCTTGAAATCTTTGTTCGACGTCAAATGAGAAAAATGCATCATTGATTTGGGGAATGTGTGGAATACCAAGTTGGCCAGCGGCGAAAGTGCACTATTCCAGGTCATTGCCGACGACGAGGGCGAAATGTTCACCGTGACGGCCGAACACGTCAGTTCTTCCATCTCCAATTCAGACATCAGAAATTGCATTGATTTCTCGCTCAAGTATGATTTGTGTGAATTGAAGAGATAGCGAAGGACGAAGTCAATTACATTCAGCGATGGAAATCTGAAATACGCACCCGACTTTCAAGCACCCGGACCGAATCTCATCACGAATCGAAGAAACTCAGTAGCACATGGACCGTTACGAGGAACCTCAATACTCGTAATTTTATGAATAGAGACGAAATGCTGAGATTTACTGGGAACCCAGGTGGAGATGACATGATTAAATTCTATCTCATCGAGATTGCGTGGACTTTCATCAACACCAAACGATGCACGTACAAGAGCGGGGTCTCTGCACATAGTCTGTACATCTTTTCCTGGAGAGATTAAACAAAGACGCATCGACACGGCTCACGATCCCTTGGAAGCTTTGTTCGACATCGAACGAACTAAAAACGTCTTCGAGTTGGGAAACGCCTGAGCAATTACGTTTGCAAACGGTGACAAAGCGCAGTTCAAGGTCATTGCCGACGACGAGGGTGAAACATTCACGGTGACCACCGAAGACGTCAGTTCGTCCATCTCCAATTCAGACATCAGAAGTAACATTTATTTCTACCTTCGTATTGATTTTTGTAAATTAATGGGATGAACAACGTCAACTGACGTTTCCTATTATGGTGGTGGTGTGTTGAACACATCGACAGTTGATAGTGCCGGGTCGAATCTTAACACTTACGAAATTGGTCGCTTCTGGACTGTTTCGAGATCACTTACGACTCAAAATGTAAACAATAGACATGACATAAACTCGATTCAATCCTCTGGAACAGATATGAAAAAGTTCTATCTCAACGAGATCGTCTATACTTTCGCCAAAACCAAAGGAGGCACAAGCAAGAACGAATCTTTTGCTCGCACGCTCTACCTGTACTCGTCTCTCTGTGCACCCGTCCTCATGGGAGATCAGACGAACGACCTGATGGGGCAGATTTATAACCACGCCATCTTAAAAGGCAGTTATTACTATGAACCCAAACAGATCCAATACATTTCACTACGAAACAATGAAAGAAAGATGAAATTACGAAAACATTATCTACCTAAATGGATAGAATGTATCACGCAGGGGATTCAAAGATTATGAATAAACGATTCTCGTAACGAAAGAGAACACAACTATAGTTTGTGCTACTAAGGCTACTCTCAGACCAGATCCATATTGTATCATGTAATCAGATATTTTTTATTACATTTGAAAAAACACATTTTGCTTTTTTTTTTACAATAAAAGTGATTCTATGTTCACCAGGTCTTGTTCATTGAGTTAAAA